TTAGGCATCATATCAAGAGATAACTTGAATATTTATGTAAACCAATTAAAAGTGATTAATTAATAGAAATCCAAAGTTAAAGTTTGCTATCATTGAGAAGGAAAACAAATTGGGTATTGTTTTACAAGATGTAAATTTTCTCAATCAATAAAACCATTTGTCAATAATCTACTCAAGCGTTTCACCAATCGGGCCATAATTCTGGTGTCATTCACGCCGGCATTTACTACAAACCGGGTTCACTAAAAGCAAAGTTATGTGTCGAGGGCTCAGCGCTGGCCTATAAGTATTTGGACCACAAGAAGATACCCTATAAGAAGATCGGGAAATTGATTGTTGCCGTCACTGACGATGAACTCAATGGACTCAATGATCTCTACCAAAGAGGTCTTCAAAATGGTGTTAAAGATATGATATTAGTTGAACAAAACGATATCCAGAAATATGAGCCCAAATGTGTGGGACTGAAAGCCATATGGAGTCCGCACACGGGAATTGTCGATTGGGCTCAAGTCAACGAGTCTTTCGGCAAAGATTTTGAGTCAATGGGCGGTAAAATCTATACTAACTTTAAGGCAAATAAGTTTGATTTAGAAGATGATTCCAATAACCAATTGGTTAGAGTTACGGACAGCACCGGTGATAAAGTGATTACCGCTAGATATGTAGTGACAGCGGCTGGACTTCAATCCGATCGGATCGCCAAACTAACCGCCGGTCAACAAAACCCTAAAATTGGTTATTATTATTTAATTCATGATATGATAAACTTATTGTAAAGTTGTGATGATTTCCTCTTTCAGTTCCCTTTAGAGGAGAATATTTAATATTAAAGAAAGAGAAGAGCGATTTGGTTCGGACTAACATTTATCCCGTATGTATTGCTAAGCATTTAAATCAAAATTAATACAAGTACATGTATGCTTTAGGTACCGGACCCCCGGTTCCCATTCTTGGGCGTACACTTTACACCGCGAATGGACGGCAGGTTTGTAAAAATGGTTATCAAAACTAACAATAATGAATTAATCATTTCTATGACAGTGTACTTCTCGGACCCAATGCTGTCCTGGCATTCAAACGCGAGGGCTATAAAAAGAGTGACTTTAGTATTGCCGACGTCTGGGAGACCATTAAATACAGCGGATTTAGAAAACTCGGTATTTTGGAGAATAACGCAAACATTAACTACAAATTGTAATATTTATTTAATTATTTGTATATAGCGTTCAAATATTTAGGCCAAGGTTTTAACGAACTCTATAGAAGTTATCGGACCACAGCTCAGGTGGAATTGCTTCGCAAATATGTGCCCTCTTTGACCATCGATGACATCGAACCCAACAGTTATCGCGCGGGCATTAGAGCCCAGGCTCTCGATGAAAATGGTAAACATTACGGTTGATATAAATTAATTGATAATTCATATAAATATATTGAAATGATAGGCAATTTAGTCGACGACTTTGTGTTTGACATCGGAAGCGAAGGCATAGGGAAGCGAGTGCTTCACGTGCGCAACGCTCCGTCTCCGGGCGCCACCTCTTCGCTGGCCATCGCGAAGATGATCGCAGATAAGGCTCAGCAATGTTTTGCAATATAATTGATGACAAATTTGTTATTTTAATTAAATAAATCGTGTGATTATTAAAATAATAGATACATAAATGGGAGAAATAAGTATTATTTATATGTATAAGTGTTTGTGATTATATGAGATCCGCCACATTCATCGGCATTTCATCGATTTGTGTGCTGTAGTACTGCTCGATATCCCTTAAGATCCTGATGTCGTCATTCTTTACAAAAT